GAATATTTTGTCACCGTCGTTATTCACACAAAATGCATAGTATAATATCACAGGGCTTTTCCCCATGGACATAGCCCTTGAGGATGAACCACGTCAAGGGAACCATTAAAAGAAATAATTTGAAAAGTTTTTAAATATTAGTATATCACATCCTCATATGTAGTAAGTTTTCAAAACAATCATATGACTTCTTGAAATTGAAAAGCTTCAAGATGACAGATTATTTCTCTAATAGCTAGGATCACACTTTGAATTAATTTTTTTGGATAATATGTTATGAGATTAAGAATTCTATCTTTTACTTCATAACCTACATCTTATTGATCATTGTAACACTTGATAATTAACTTTTATAAACACAAAATCAATTAAACAAAGTTTTAAGTGTGACTAATGGCATGTAACAAACATGTTGATGTCATCTTTTCCATAGTTATATGTTGTAGTATTTTACATGATTTGAGTTTTAATGTATTTATAAAACCACAAAAGTGGCAATAGTATTAGCTTTAAAGACTTGATATAATTTTGAAAATGATAATTTATGAATAAAAACATTTTATTTAAATTTTTGATTTAATTTTTACATCAAGTCTATTGTTTCACATTATTATTCGTTGTATAAAAATTGATTTGAATTCATAATATATAATAAGAAAAAACAAATTTCTCTTTTATTTTGATAAAAACATACTAAAATTCAAATAATTTATAGGGAAATTTAATTAAAATCAATAAAAAAATAATAAATATTGTCTTCATGAAATCTTGTAGTCTTTTCATCATTGAACACTCAAAATATTTGAATTCTCTGAAAAATCAGGATTATTTTAAGAATACATTTTAAATATTAAGTCACAAAAAATTTGTTGATATCAAATTGGAATTATAAAAATCAGGAAAATATTTCTTTAAACCATATCATCTCAACTTGAAGAGCGTGGAACAAAAGATGTGGAGGAATATTTCTATTAAAATTTGAAGATAAATATAATTGGAAAATAATAATTATAATTGGCATTTTTCTATTTATAGAATATATGAAATTTGTATGTTTTGCTTCCAATTGAATAATTGATTATCAACCTACATAAATCACTAAGAGTTTCAATTTCAATATTCATTGACTTTATATTTCACTTTATATTATTTTGCTTCCAAAATTTATTTTTGTGTAGTTTGCGAAATTGTAAATGCAATGGTAGGTCAGCTAGTTATTTGATCTGAAGATGCCTTTCATATTCATAACAAAAGTATGAGAAATTCAGTCAAATAATTCATTCTCAAGTTTTTTGATTGAATCAACAAAAAACACATTTTAAACAAAAATTCCAGTTTATAACTATATTTCAATGAATTAAGTTCATAATTTCACATGTTTAATATCTTGTATAATTATTTATTGTATCAATCAGTTTTGATGATAATTAACGTTTAGAAACCAATATCTATAAATAAATATCAAAATTATATGAATTTGAGTTTTGAAATCATATTAATTCCAAAAGTTATTGAAAATCAAAAAATGAAAGATTCAAACATTCAGTTAAAAAAAATTATTGATTATAATTTAGAAAAAGAATGATTAAGTCTTTTACCTGGAAAATATGATTTTTTATTTATTGTAGTTCATAACGATTATCTATAATTATTTATTCATTTATATTTTTATATATTTTATTTTTTCTTATAATGTTGTAAATATTTTTTGAGATGAATGAAATATTAGATTGAAATAGATCCTTTTTCATTTTATTTTATTTTGCAATCAAACTTTTATTTTTGTTTACTTGCAATGTCATCAAATATAATAGGGTTTTTTTTTATAATACTTTAATTTTCTATATAGACATTGCTTAAACTAACTGTTTTTATTATTTTATTTATTATTTTATTATAAATATTATTATTTCAAAATTGAAATTATGTATTCCAAAATAGAAATAAATGATATCTTTATTAAATTTTACAATTTAAGCTTTAAAATCTGACATTTTATGTTTAAATAGTGGAAATTTGCTTATACACAAATGTTGTTATGAATCTGTACTATAATGTTCAAATTTTGACGACAAGTTCTACACTGGAAAATTTCAATTTATAAAAAATATTCATAGATTATTTTAGTTCTCAAAACACATGTATCTATTTTGATTTGAGTTAGTCTTCAACTGATGCATGACATTGATTGTTATATGACTAAGCAAGAGTAATTAAATAAATTAATAATAAAATTGTTTTGTTTCAATTGAGTATGTGTTGGAAAAAAAAGGTAGTTAGCTCCAAATTTTTTTTATGTAATCTTGATCAAATTAGAAAGAATTCAGCAAAGTCATTTGACTTCTTTCATGTGATGAATTGGGTGCTGAAAAATGCATACGAATATGGTTTTATATATTAAAGTATTGGATTTTGAGATATACTTGATAATTGTTAGTTTAGTTATTTGAATCTCTATATTTCAGTTTTGTGATTTACTTTGGTGATATTTATTGAATACTCTTCCCATTTCATACTGATGTTGAATGAAATAAAAAAATTTATTTAGCAAAATGATCCATATTTGTTCACATTGATTTGTAAATGCTTTTTGTAAAATATATACAGGCATCATCATGTTTTTTATCTTCACTATTTCTTATAATTTGATTTGTTTGATCTAGGTTGGAGACATCCAAGGGAGTTTTTGCACAAAACTCCAAGTTTACTATATTATGTACTATCATATTTTCAAAGTTAAGAATGTATATCCTGTCGTTTGAATAAAATTCATCTTGAATATTCCACATACAAAATTTATCAAAGCTACTTAAATAGAATCCGTTACATGAAAATTGTATTCCTATTCCACTTCATTATATGAGCTAGAAACATATTTTTGTGATAGATCTGAAAAAAATAAGGTAATTATCTTGCGAGTGAATTTTTCCACTAGATAAGATGAGATGAATATATCGGAAGGGACTTACTCAGAAAAAAATGTCTGATGAATATTTTCGCATAACATTTATTGAAAAAGTAAAAAAATAAGGATCTTATTATTATGATTATTGTGATGCATGACTGAAATATTTTACTCACCTCACTTTCACATTGTGGGTTTCTAGCATGCATGACACATTATTGAATTATTTATTGTGAGTTCAAGATTCATAACATATCAGAATGATTTATATCATCACATAACACTTGTTTTGAACATCAATATGATATTTGATATAGTCTATTAAAAACATCAGTATTGTATTTCGCATAAAAATAACGTTCAGTACGCCTGAGTATGCATATTGTATCTATTCGAAACTACATTCTTGTTACATACGTCAACGTGTGTGTATTTGCTGATTCTAAGATCCCTGATTTGGAATACACTTGTAAGTTTCTATTTCGACAAAATTTGGTTCCACTATTAACAATTGCTTATCTTGATGGATGATAAGGAAGCATGAGACCCAACCATATATAAGGTTTGTAAAAACTGTAATACAACCTCAAACGTATAAAATCCAGGTATTATTTTATATAAAATTATACGTTTCTAACTTAGATAACAATCATCGAGAAATGAAAAATTTCACTAGTGCGTGGAATATACAAAATCATCTACAATTGGTTAGGCATGAATCAAAGACGTAACCCTACTCTAGTTTTTCTCTCTTGTTCCCGTCATCGACTATGGCCACCATTTATTTGATGAACAATAAACGACGGCTCGTTTCGCATCCAGATACTGAACCGTTGTAATCTACGTGGATTTGCAACATCCAATCTGCGGAGGTCCGAGAGAAAGGATAATGCCAAATCTACAAACGTGTCGCTGTCGTCCACGTGGCGCGCGTCCAAGGCGCTCATTCCAGCTGAGGTGGATGTCGGTTTGGAACTCAATTAGGGTCGGGAGTGGCTTTTACCCTCGCGAACGTTTTACGACACGGGAAATGCTCTTTACCGTCGATGAGTCCCATGCCTCGATTTTCAGGATACGGCACGGACTCCGCGAGGAGAGGCCCAGATCATGGACGATAATAGGATCCAATGAAATGAATTCTCCCTTCACCGTATCCCGCACACAGTACCTACTGGTTTGGTTTGGTCTGGTTTGGTTTGGTCTGTGGAGAATCGGACAGCATTGGTAGATAACAACGGGAGAGTAGTGTAGATCCATCACAATAACTGTTGGCAATTTGTTCTGCTGAAAAAATGTGTTTTCCTCTTCTTCGTAACAAAAAACGTGATGATTGAAAGATATCATTTTTGTTGGATACCTATCAGTAGTGCGTAAATATTTTCCCTCTCAAATTTTCAGTATTTTTTTGATATTAAGAATGAAATCTATGATTTAATTTTGTTGGTTTTGACGAGTGGCAGTGTTGTGCTTACTTGCAAGATATTGCAGGAAATATTTGTCGGACAATATTTTGATACTCAGATTCTTTTCTATTTTCGTGAAACGTCAGTTCGAAGGCATTCTCATGGTACGAGAAAATACTAGTGGCTGACAAAGGGAAGGGCTCTGAAGCGAAAGCGTGGGATGTCGAGACGAGACTAGGTCGAAGGCCGCTAAATAAAGCGTCCACCGGGCCGCAGATCGCGGGGGCCCGGAAACGAACGACCCGTCCGCAGAGCCCACAGAAACTCGAATGGATGCACGCGATTCGGCGAGATACGGCAGAAAAGAATTCCCGGCGAATTGGAGGAGAAAAGATCCATCACTCCCAATCTCGAGGACGGCAGAGCGCCACGTCGCGAGCTGCGAGGGCCGAGCTCGTGGGGCAGTTTGGTGCCTGAGAACGGCGATCCATCCGACGCTCCGCCAGCCGCTTGCCTGCCACGAGAGGCTATCTTCACAGAACCTTCCGGGACCTCCTTCCGCTGAAATACTCGCCCCGCCGTAGGTGACTTGCGTCTCAGGCCGCAACCGCATCCGTGCCGCCGATTTCGTCCGGTCGAATCCATCGGCTGTTTATAAACGCCCGGACACTTCTGCGTTTGGTGTCGTAGACAGAGCCCCAGGGCGAGCGAGAGAGAGAGAGAGACAGACAGAGAGACAGAGGCAGAGAAGGAGAGCCCAGACGAGAAGAGGGCAAACGAACGAAGGAGAAGGAAGGAGGAGGAGATAGAAGAGAGGAGGCTCGAAAAGCCGGAGGTCTTTCTTTTGTTCGCGCTCACTTCATCGCCGTCGCAGGAGTCTGATCTCGTGCTTCATCTTCTTCGTCGTCGTCTCGGAGCGAGCGAGCAAGCTCTTCGTCGTACAGACGTTTGTTCGCCATGGCAGCTGCTTACGCCCAGATGTTGAGGGCGAATGTTGGCGTGCCGCAGGCCGCTGTGTCTGGGGAGACGCCGGCGACGTCGTCGTCCGCGCTCGGTGCGAACAAGGCTTTCTTCGGAGTGAATCTGAAGAATAGGTCAGGGTTTGTGAATGGTGGTAGGGGTTTGAGGGCCAGCACGAAGAGAGATGCCCGCAAGAGCCATGTCGGCCCGGTCAGAGTTGTGGCTGAGAAGGTGGTGGGTATCGATTTGGGAACCACGAATTCTGCGGTGGCCGCCATGGAAGGAGGAAAGCCTACCATTGTGACTAACTCCGAGGGGCAGAGGACCACTCCCTCCGTCGTCGCTTACACCAAGACCGGCGACAGGCTCGTTGGACAAATTGCCAAGCGTCAGGCCGTCGTGAACCCCGAGAACACTTTCTTCTCCGTGAAGAGATTCATCGGTCGCAAAATGAACGAAGTCGACGACGAGTCCAAGCAAGTTTCTTACACGGTCGTCAGAGACGACAACGGGAATGTGAAGCTGGACTGCCCGGCAATAGGAAAGTCCTTCGCAGCTGAGGAAATTTCCGCTCAGGTTTGTTGAATTACGTTCGCACCTCATCACGTTGCTGCTGTTCTTGTCAAATGTGGGGAATGGACATCTTGTTTCTCAGCCACATTTGTACGTGATTAGTCTTCGTCGTGACCTAAGAGATGCCATGATTTGGATCCCTTGACGTCCCTGAGTCAGCATCTGGCACAAGTGCTCGAATTCTTACCGAAGCTGCCCTCGCGTGTGGACAGGTCTTGAGGAAGCTCGTGGACGACGCCTCCAAGTTTTTGAACGACAAGGTTAGCAAGGCAGTCATCACTGTTCCAGCCTACTTTAACGATTCACAACGTACGGCCACCAAGGATGCTGGGCGTATTGCCGGTGTGGAAGTGCTCCGAATTATCAACGAGCCTACTGCCGCTTCCTTGGCGTACGGTTTTGAGAGGAAGAGCAACGAGACTATCCTGGTCTTTGACTTGGGAGGTGGTACCTTTGACGTCTCAGGTGAGTCTTTCTACCGAAGTTAATGTGAACTGCCTCACTCCGAGGGTTCAAGAGTAGGCCAGGTTATGCTGAATGTGTGTTGTAAAGAACCCGTGGACAATTGTGTCTGAAGTGACCCCCTACTGTAGCATGGTGGGCCCTATTGTTTTTTGGAAACGTTTGTAGCTTTTTAGCAATATCCTTTGCACTCGAGGTACAATTGCAGCTGACACGTAGTCCCGTGACCTGTGTTTCAGTTCTGGAGGTCGGTGACGGTGTGTTTGAAGTGCTTTCTACATCCGGAGACACCCACCTCGGTGGAGATGACTTTGACAAGGTATAATTTTGCTCGCAAGCTGTTTCTCACGAGAGATTTCCGTGGTTACACAATGTTATTCGCTGTTTTATCCTGAATTTCTTTTCATGGAAACGTACAGAGAATCGTGGACTGGCTGGCTTCCGCATTCAAGAAGGACGAGGGAGTCGACCTTTTGAAAGACAAGCAGGCTCTTCAAAGGCTAACAGAGGCAGCAGAGAAGGCAAAGATGGAATTGTCATCGTTGACCCAAACTAGTATCAGGTACATTTTACCTGAAGCTTAGTGTTCTTACACTCGAAGGTTACATTCTGGCGTCTATGGAAAATCTCTTACACGTGGGAAGATAACTAAACAACCTCTTCTACCTGGCAGACTTCTGATATTCTTTCTTTTTTCCTTGCAGTCTTCCCTTCATCACTGCCACTGCAGACGGACCGAAGCACATAGACACCAGTCTGACCCGTGCCAAGTTCGAGGAGTTGTGCTCTGACTTGCTAGACAGGTGAGAGTCGTGACTGTGGATCAGGTGCTGACCTCATATTCGTTATCTGATTGATTACCTGCAAGTAAATTGCGAAGAAGCTGATAGTCTTCTCGTCGTTCAGGTGCCGGACGCCTGTGGAGAACTCCTTGAGAGATGCTAAGCTCACCTTCAAGGACTTGAACGAGGTCATTCTTGTCGGTGGGTCTACTCGTATCCCTGCTGTACAGGAGCTCGTGAAGAGGATTACTGGCCGGGACCCGAACGTCACCGTGAACCCTGACGAAGTCGTCGCACTGGGAGCTGCTGTTCAGGTACTTTTTTTTTCTGAAAGCTTTATTTTTATCGTAGTAGCTGCACGCAATATAATGCTCGCCAATCTTCTGTAGAAGGTGACGTCGCGTTCCTTGTTGTTCTTACCCAACTGTGTTATCTGCAGGCCGGTGTGCTCGCTGGTGAAGTCAGTGACATTGTTCTACTTGATGTTACTCCCTTGTCTATTGGACTGGAGACTCTTGGTGGTGTTATGACCAAGATCATTCCCAGAAACACCACTCTGCCTACCTCCAAATCCGAGGTCTTCTCCACGGCAGCAGACGGCCAAACCAGTGTCGAGATCAATGTTCTTCAGGGTGAACGTGAGTTCGTGAGAGACAACAAGTCCCTCGGAAGCTTCAGATTGGATGGCATTCCCCCCGCACCTAGAGGTGTACCACAAATTGAGGTTCGGTTTGATATCGATGCCAACGGTATTCTCTCCGTTACTGCTCAAGACAAGGGAACTGGAAAGAAGCAGGATATTACAATCACTGGAGCCAGCACTCTACCGAAGGATGAGGTAATTTGTCTACAAGATGAAAGTTTGTCGAATTCAGCGGGTGCTGTTCAAGGTGCCTGATATACTCCTTGCCACACGTGAAATATTTTTCTGTTTGAAAACATCTGATTGACACTCAATTCTCACTTTCAGGTCGAGAGAATGGTGAAGGAAGCTGAAAAGTTTGGACAAGAAGATAAGGAGAAGAGAGACCAAGTTGACACCAAGAATCAGGCCGATTCCATCATCTACCAAACTGAGAAGCAGTTGAAGGAACTCGCCGATAAGGTCCCGGTTCCGGTCAAAGAGAAGGTTGAGGCCAAGTTGAAGGACCTGAAGGATGCTGTTGCCGGTGGCAACACTCAGTCGATGAAGGATGGTATTGCTGCTCTGAACCAGGAAGTCATGCAATTAGGTCAGTCCTTGTACAACCAGCCAGGTGCCCCTGGAGGACCTGCACCAGGAGGTGCCCCAGAGGGAGCAGAAGCACCTAAGGCCCCAGGAGGTGACGATGTCATCGATGCTGACTTCACTGACAGCAAGTAAAAAATTTAGGATAAATCATATTTTAAAACCTGCGTCTTTTTCAAAATAATGCACCAAAAGAGTGCCTTTGTAACACAAAGAATAGGTAGAGTTGAGATAGTATATTGAGAGGGATTCCTTAAAACCATCGATGCATTAGGTACTCGGTAGTGGGGATGTAGACATGGACATCTTGTCAGACCGTTCATGTCTGGTGAAGCGAAATCGAGAGGGGAGAAATTATAGTCTCCCTGGTTCATTTTCGAACGCAATTCACGGAGGTGGATCGTAGTATCTCTCTCCCTTTTAGAAGACTTGAGGTTTTTTTGTCCCGACAAGCTCTCAATTGCTAGAGACCGAAATGCAATTTTTTAGGATGGCTTACACACTGTTACGAAGAGACTTCTCGCCGACAAGTCGTCTCGCATGACTTGGATCGGTGGCAAGTGAAAGATGTAAACTTCATGAATTGCTTCAATCAATCATTATCAAACAAGTTACTTGCTACATTCAACCATGACTCTACCTCATTTGGAAATGTTCGTTTTGATTGTAAACGTATGTAAATCTATGGTTGAGCATGGAAGTGACCTATCCTTTCCCCATGATGTAGACCAGAAACGGATTCAACACCACTGAATTAAGAATAAGGTCCTCAGGATAATGCTTCCGAAAGTTTCAATGAAGTGTTTTCAAATCCATAACATACACTAAAATCTTCGATAGAAATACTAATTATTATTATTTAAACTAAATGTGCCAGTCCTAGAGCAGGTACCCTCTACCACTCATACATCCCTTGATCCGTCTCGGATGGCGGCTTCTTCTATCGAAAAGATTGAGGATGTAATGAGAGAGACATGTACATAGAAAACAATTATTTCTAGCAAATAATTAATACTATCAAGATGGAACGAAAGCAGGATAAGTAAATTTTTGGGTAAAATTATCTCCCAATCAACACGCAGTGGCATGCACACTGAATCTAAATCCCCATGCATCTAAAACGAAAAAAGGATAAAATTTGTCATACGAAAAAAATCGCTACATTGCTAAATCGCTACACTAATAATAATAATAATAACTAATAAATATTCCAAGATTTGAATTCATATCCTTTACTTTTGACTTCTATCATGTTGTGAAATTATAAAAATAAGAAAACTTAGATACTCTTTTTATACATATACAATATTTGGACATAAACAATAAAATATTGCACAAAGTACATTTTTACTTGGACGATGCTTGAATACTTGATTGGTTAATATACACTCAAATTTCTATATAGTATTTCAAGTAAAGTTTCTAAATTTTCATAATTACATCTCATGAAAGTAGCGGCTAGTTATTATTTTGTTTTGTAATTTTACTTCACTCTACATACCTCTTCAATCTTCAAACATGGCGGGCTTGTCTTCATTGCCCGCGTTAGCAATCAAGACATGCAGTGAGCGACACTAGAAACGGCAGAAGGTCGAGCCTTTTCTCTTGCCTAGTCACTCCCTATGTCTCTCTCGTGGCTTGTACTCCAAGTAGAGTAGAAGGCACAAAGATTTTTCCGGAAGCATGCACGCTGTACTTTTCAACCTTTAAACGCATGGGACATGACATGCCTGTATGTATATACAAAATATTATGCATATATGTATTTTTGAATTTATACATATAAAAATTTAAAAGCTCCAGATTAACTATAAGTCTTACACCTTGATTGTAAAACCTATAGAACAATTCACCTTATCTTGCTACGATATGAAGTAAACGATCAACGAAACATCAGTAACCATATGTATTTATTATAAATATAAATTATTCAATTTCCATATATTTTAATTTTTTGTAAATTGAAATTAGATTTTATTCCATGCAATTGGCTACTTCTTCCTACATTATGTGAGAATGACACGTTTTGATATCAGGATCTAGAATGTTAGAGAAATTTTTGACTTTTACAAAAAACTCATGATTTTAAATTAAAAAAAATGATATGTGGAAAGAAATAAAATCATTTATAAAAAAAATTTGATTTTCCAAATATATGTCTTCCATGAAAAAGAGTGAAGCTAAAACCTTGAATGCCTTTGAACAAGATTTAAAATATGAAATTTTTAAAGATATGACAATAAATTATTCAGTTGAGAAAACTGAAATGTTTTGTTTGATCAACAAATATTCTGTAAATGAAATCACATGCAATGAATCAATAAAAAATGTTTCAAATTAATTTTGTTTTACGTTGATGAAATGGAATAATTATTAACGCAAGAAAATTAATGAATCATCATGAAAATCAGTACAAAGGCATGAAGAACAAATTAAAACTCATTGATTTTAAATTTGAAACTAAGTTATACAAATAATGATATTTTTTGGAAAAAATCACAAGTTTATGAGATAACTTGATGGAAAAGAATAAATCGCATTTTGAATTTTTTCCAACCTCAATCAGGACAACATGATGTACAATTAATATGGTAATGAGCTTTTAATCACATGGATGTCGTGAAATATAAAATACCTAATGTAATTTTTTGACAACCAAATAAATCATCACCAGTAAATAAATAGTTAAAAAATAGCTCTTAATGATTAGAACAACCAGATAATCAAAATAAAATATTTTCAAAATTATGTATTTTTGTATCCCTTAACGTCTTAAAAATCATAATTTTTTCATTGGAAATGAATTTGCTATAAAAACCTAACTATCATGTAGTTTAGATCCAGATAAACAAAATTTTAAATTTATTTACAAACACACATATTAATTAATTATCTATAACTTTGACCGAGAGCAATTTTTTATTCTCCTTGAATACTCTCTTAATTCCAATCTTCCAATAATAGATACTAATCATAAGATTTGAATATGATAAAAAACATAAAACATAGCTTGGTTTCTTCTGAAAAAAAATTTAAAACTGTTTCAAGACAATTTTTAATATCTAAGTCACTTAAAGTTTAAGAGATGTCAAAATAAATTTTTTAGAGAAGAAAATGTATAAGATGACTTTTAACCTTATCATCACATAAAATTGAATACATAAACGATTCATTATTTTCAAGAATGTCCTGTGTTTTTCAAAACACACGACAGTTTACGCCCCGTTTCATGAAACCATTTGAGGCTTATCCCGGGCGAAGCCACTCGACGAAGGAAGAGCGTGTCGCTCTCTGGACTTCCGGGAATATTCCCGGGTTTGGATTTGATGTTGTTATAGGCCGTAAGCAGCACTTCCGGTTTAGATATAATCTACCTTACCAGATGGCGATATTTGCCATCGATGAATTGTTTCTCTACAAGTTACTTAAATCTATCCAGGATCAATTTTTCTTGAGAATTTATATTCTAACTCTTCATTCATACTAATTCATTAAAAAAAGATGAAATAATTACGTAATTTCATTAAAATTCAATATGTATGATTGATTATCATTAGAAAATATTATGTAACAACATGTCATTGATCTACTACACGTTCCAATAGATCAACACATTTACCTTATTCATATTTGCATTATTATAGAATTAGAAGAATTGTATGGATTGTAGGAAATTATGTGGAGATCATGAAGACATGCACAAACTGGCAAGACAAAATTACACAACCGTCTGGAAAATGAGGAGAAATTTACTTTGTGGACCCTATCAGAACTCTGAATGCTTGATGGGACTCAATAAGTTCCATTTTACCCGATGGGTTACCGTTAGTTATGTTCTTGTAACTGCTTTGTTTCCACTTCAATGAAAAAAAAAATTGTTCCCGAAGTTGAGTTAGTTCCCCATGACTCGCAATCTTCATCATGCAAAAGCTTAATTTTACACGTCCTAGAATGATATTACAGTTAAAATGTATTGGCGTAATCTCCTTACTTCTTGCTTTTTTTTCTAAACTTCTTCGCCGAAGTCATGTAAGTTACCTATTTTGGTCCATGAAATGCCTGCAAGGAGAAGTCACTTTTCAACAAAGAGGGGCAGTGCTTTTTCTAACCCATCAGTGACGATCTACTGAACTGCCATCGGGTAAAATAGACAGTATTGGGTCCCATAAGTAATTCTTTTGGAAAGTGAGGTTCACAAACAATTTAAAATTGTGTTGATCATCATCACCTGAAAGGTAGATTTTGGGAACACCGAGGTCGTCCAACTTGTTCACGTGTATCATTTTCAGCAATATCTGCAAATCAGTAACCACAACTATGACTGCATGAAGTAAATTCGACGGCTGGACTGTGGCTCGTACATGGAGTATTTTACCTCGCAGAGCATCTGTGAGACCCAGGCGATCCAAGGTGGAGCGGTTATGTGAACGCTGAATAGAGTCACTGGAATCTCCACGGCGGTGCCGTACGTCATCAGCGTCATTGTACTTATACCCACATGGTGAATATTTCTTCATTGAGAGCCGCACGCTGCTTTCCAGAGGACCCCACATCAAGATGGTCGTACCGTCATGCTTTAAAGTTGCTGGTGGAACGCAGTTTCGCGTAGTGACGCGTTTCAAACCATTTCAAAAATCATTCTTAATCATCTTTCGATGTCCTACTCGTGTTTGTCTGCGATTCCGATTGATTTTATGGGACTCGCACCTCCACAATACTCGCCCTTACCGAAACTGGACCAAGCTCTTGAAGTTGCGGCAGTCCTACTCTGGAGAAAAAGCCCAAGGAAGATGGAGGCTTAAGGCCTAAAAAATTCAATTGAGGTCACGGTTTGTTGCAAGTGCATGTTCAACAAGAAAAGAGTGCTGTGGCCTCACTTTGATGGACTTTGCAATCAAGGCAATGTCATGTGCATTGTAATTGCAAGCCAAGGTCTCCAAAAAGAGCCTCCAGCCCAGCATCTGTTTTGTCTTCAGTTGAGTACTTCACTACAAATAGGGGAGTGAGATTTAATATGCTAAACAATTTTCAGTTTGAGTTTCACAAATTTTAAGATCTGTTACAATTTGTGGATTGCTGAGGACTAAGTAATATTGTTGTGCTTTTGGTAGAGTTCGTTGCACTAAGAGTTTATTCCAACCATTTCGTAAGGTAGAGGTTGTGTCATCATTGTAAATGTAAGATACTTGTCACGTCTTAGCTTGTTTGAGCATAAGGGCATGTTATTAATTGATAAAATTAGAGTTTAAAGGTACCATGTGAATGCAATGTGAATGCAATAATGGCGAACAACTATAATGCTTCTAGAGTTTTGATTTACACCTCAAAAAAATTACTGAAGGGGGTCTGAATACCTTTTTGTCCCAACTTTAATATTTAAGTCGTAAACATATACCATTTTATATCATTAGTAAAATTGTAATATTAAAATATTCTTAAGTTGCATCTAAATAAAGCAACCCAAAAATTGAAAAACAACTGAAAAATCTGAAGAATCTTACAGTCAAACTCTCTGAAGCCAGAAAGAAATACTGTGAGGAACGTAATATGAATAATGTCTTGTTCTAAATCATTGTCAGCTTACATTTAGCATATGAAGTATTTTTCAAGTCCTGTGTACAACACAGG